TAATGAAATGTATTAAAAATAAAAACTTTTTTATTTCTTTAGAGATCAAATATAATTCAATATCCAGAAAGAATACTTTCAGACCGACTATATATATAGTTCAGATAATGAAATTACAGCGAAAGAATAAGGTCTATAACACAAACTTTACGTGACTAGTCGATATGTTAATTTTGTTAAGTGCCATCAAAGTACTCTTAATTAGAAAATATAATAAAATAAGAGGTGTGTGTGAAAAGCATTACATGTTCAAATGTATGACAAAAAAAAAGAAGAAATAAAATTCAATTTTTATTATTTGGGTTAAAATTAAAGAAAATAAGATTATAGTAAGACTAAAACTTGCTGCTTTAGGCTTTATGAGAAATTGTAGCATTTTCACCAGCTACGCGCTTGAATTTGGTTTGGTTGTTTGAGAGCAAAGCCACATGTATCCGCTGTGTCCACCGCGGAATCGTACCCCGGATTTTAGGGTTGTAAATCCGCACACTTACCGCTGACCCACGGGGAGATCACTTCAGCTTTGAACTGTAACGTTAACAATAGCCCATTTTGACTTGTTACTGTACGATCGTTCCATTCTCGCATTTCACTTCACTTGTTATGCCCATCAACTTTATTTAAGCTGTATTTATTCCCATCAGGAATTGACTTATACCAAGGTAAATATAACAAGCTGCTATTTCTTACACGTAGATTAAGAAAGTGATTGTGTTTATTTATTGCCAGCATATATTACTTTCTTGCTTCGCCTTTCTCGGTTTATTTGTTTTCTCTCTCACATCTCCCAGCCTTCTTTTCTTTGTGGGACCCCTGCTTTTTTATATTCCTTTATGAAACCCACGCCGAACCGGCTGTTTCCTTTTTGACCATGCACATGTATTGGATTATTATGTTTTATAATCATAAGGGTCTTGATTTCTCCATATCAGATGAACTAGAAAGGCAGCCTCTTTCTCATCTCTCTCAATTCCAACCAATGTTCCTTACACCTAACTTCATAACACTTACGTCCACAAAGCATAATAAAAATATATGAAAAATATTATATGAGTAAAGTTATTCATACGAGAGATATCAGACAAATAGTAAGAAAATTGCTTGCTCAAAAACTGATGAACTGGAAAAACAACAATGCTTCTAAGAAAACCTTTCTTACTATATCTGATGAACTAGAAAATCAACGATGCTTCTATGAAAACCTTTCTTACTAGATCTGATGAACTGGAATAACGACAATGTTTATAAGAAAACCTTTCTTACTAGATCTGATGAACTAGAACAACAACAACGTTTCTAAGAAAACTTTTCTTACTAGATCTGATGAACTGGAACAACAACAATATCTCTGGAAATAATTATTTTACAATACTGAGGCATAATGAGTTCGCAGAATCAAAAGTGTCTTATTGGCATTTTTTTACTTATACATAACGACATCTTAACAAAATTGGCTGAGCAGCCTAAGTACAGAATTACAAGTTGAAATTTTTATATTGATTAAAAAATAAACTACTAATTAAAATACATATTCTAATTCTAACTACAAAGTAATTGCGATTATACCCAATAAAAATAAACACCTCTATTTATATCACTACCAGTGGGGTAAGCATAATACATTAACATGAGTAATTGTATGCCTTTATCTGTTACATCAATTTTTTTTATTATAACCATATATAATACAAGATTATTAAAATTGTTAAATTAAAAAGGGGGGAATATGGATTTTCAAAAAACAATCCGAAACAAGATAGGTAGTTTAAAATGAAAATTGAATCGCAAAAATCTAAACAAATAAACTTAAGGTTTGAGACATACTGTTGACATAAGTTCCTCAAGCAACACATCCATATTTTGACTTATTTATTTATTTTTTATAATATTACATAATAAAATCTTGTCCTTCGAGAACAAAATTACACCAGAGACACATTTAAAATCGTAAACATTATTCAGAATAGTGTGGACATTGTATAAGAACGTTCAAAACCATGTTAAACTACATAGTTGAACCGCTTTTCTCGCAAACTGGTATTTCCTTTATCTTTCTCTCTCTTTCAGGAATATGAAAATGGCGATTTGGATTACACGCCCGTCCTCAATGAACAATGCCCAAAGAGAATGATGCTTGTAGTAGCTTAATTTAAGAATGGGCTTTATATGCTGACTGAAATTTACGAAAGCACAATGAACATATTCTGTCCGTTTTTGAAAAACAAACACAAAATGATTCTAAGTGTGTCTCTGGTGAAATGTATTTCCCTACAACAATTAGTTTGTTTAAGATATAATATCTTAAATATGTGACTATCTTTATAAGCAGTCTGCACGTTACATATTATTCACATAATTAAAGTTGTTAGTTTTATTTCGTAGTTGTTCTGAATTTTGCTAATAAGAATGTCGCAAAATAATATACAAAATATTACATCAACAAAACTGTTAGATCAAATAGTTAAAAAAAAACACTAGTTTAAATCATCAAATGTCATTGATTTAAATACTTCAGCAAGAACAGAGGAGAGAGTAATCGATCGATATCATTGGTTTATTTTTCATTTAATATCGCAAAAGGACACACAGTGTTGCGATTATCGCCTATTTCACTAACAGTGACGTCTGATAAGCCTCCAGGGTGCTAAATCGGCATAATATATTTGCCAATGGGTGTACTGTCAAACTAAATCTTCTTTCATAACTATTGGAAAAGTCATATGTTAATAAAAGATGAACACGAGTTGAACTCTATGTAAGTTTTCATTTTAAACAATGATTTAACCTTAAAATCATAATAATA